AACTTCAAAAAAAAAAAAAAAATCAAACTTGGCCCTCCCTGGTGTTGCAGCGGGTTAAAGCACAGCACTAAGAAGCTAAAGCCACTTCCGCATGAATTCGATCCCCGCCTGCCCCAGAGGTGACCCACATGGTACAGCAGACCTCTCCTGACCAGCCCGCTGCTCCCCTCAGCGTACTTCATCCATCTACCTGTTCTGCTCCCCATTCTGTCACTGGTGAATCCTCTCACCCTCTACATCTCTAGCCTGTACCCCAGTTCTGTATGAATAAATAAATAAATCTTTAAAAAAAAAAACTTCACTGGTATGTAAAATTACCCCTGCAAGTTAGAAATTAATACAAATTTTAAAAAGTTAAAATCACAAATGTACAAACTGATTGGTTAAAGACTTGAGTTCTTAACTATATTCTATGGACAATGGTACGTGAACACTTACTTATATTTGATCATTTTCCCCTAAAAATATGGATAAATAATAAAGTTATATTATTGCTTTATGAAATAAGGAGTGTTCATTTGTAAATTACTTGTAAAAATATTAGCAAAGGAAGTATGATCATTACATGAAGTCACTTGGATATAAAAGCACAAAATACTTAATATGTACCAAAATATTACTGATAGCCATCTTTTTACTGATTGTGATCTTTTAACTTGTACTTTGCTCATTTTACTTCAATAAGCACACTTTGTTAACCAGAAATAAGTAAGTACAAAAAAATTAAATAGGGCCTCACTGGTGGCATAGGGGTTAAGTGAGTCTCAGTGCTGTCACACCATCACTGCTGCGGCCTGAGTTCAATTCCTGGCCAGGGACCAAACCCAGCAGGCCTCTCCTGTCTCACTCACTGCTCCTCTCAACAGTGTATTTCAGTCAGTCTGCCTATTCTGCTCCCAACTCCGTCTCTGGTGAATCCTCTCGCCCCTTAACCCCTGGAACTCTGGCCTACACCCCATGATTTGTATGCATAACTAGGAATAAATTTGGGCTTCTCTAGTGGCACCAGGATTAAAGACACAGTGCTATCAAGCTATCATATGCCACTGCATGAGTTCCATCCTGTCAGGGAACTAAACCGCATGACAAAGCAGACCTCTCCTGTCTGGTCTGCTGCTCCTCTCAGCAGGGGATTTCAGTATATCTGCCTGTTTAGCTCCCCACTGTCTCTGGGGAATCCTCTCACGCTCATCCCCCCACTTCTGGCCTACACCCCAGTTCTTGGATGCATACATAAATGACTCTTTTAAAAAATATATAAAAATTAATTTTAAAAAATTAACCAATGATGATGGCACATGGGTGACTTGGTGATGGGAAACCCGCAGGGATTACAATTGAGATGGAAAAAAAAAAATGTACAAAATGATGCAAAAATAAACTTTTGTAATAAAAAAAAATTAACCAATGAATTTTAAAAAGTAAAATTATTTGCAAACCTTCTTTGGCCCTGCAGTACAGTACCTCTAGGATTCTGAAAGTGGCCTTGCTGCCCGGAAATTCCATCTTCAGAGGCACTTTTCTGTGTTTTTTAGAGTCCAGAAGGAGTAAGTCTGATTCTGGTTTGCTTTGACTACCTGATGAACCAGAACTTCTCTCTTTGGGCATAGTATGGCACAGCATTCTTGAGAAACAATCTGTAGCATTACTTTCAACATAATCCCATGGTAATTTTCTCGCCTTCTCTTTAGTTTTTTGATCAGTTGGAAGAATTTCAGGAAATTCCCTCAATAACCAATTACGATCTTTGAAAAATTTATTCTTATGAATCTTGTAAAATGTGTCCCAATATTTACTGGCTTCACTTTCATATTTAACTAAAAAAAAAAGAGAGAAAAAAGGGATTTATTTTACTATGAATTCTATCTACTATTAGTTACTTCCTCAGTAATGAAATCTAATCATTAAATACTGGTAAATATTATATACATTATTTATTAGTTATAACAATTATATTTATTATTAAGTTTAATATCATTTTATGTATCTGACATTTTCATCTCAAAGATTGCAACTACAGAGTATTAATTCTCAAAATATGACAATGTGTAGGGTATATAGTTTTAGCTTTGAAAACTCCCTTCTGTCTTGATAGTTAAGCCAATACATTTTTATGAGTAATGTAATCACTGCAAGCTATTTTCTACAGTCTAATTTTGGAATCTTAATAATCAGTTTTACCAATAACCTGTAAAAATTCTACTGGCATAGGGAAAGGAAACCTCATTTTTGTCTCTGAAGTGCAGTTTCAACATTGCAAATTGGCAATCAGATAAGAAATTGTGGAATTATAAATGTCATAATTCTAGAGCCAAACAATCCACTGAAACAATTCACTGCATCAGATGAACCCTCCCTGCTGTTTTACATCTAAAGTAAGAAAAGCACAGAGAAATGAACCCACTTGTTCCAAGTCCAGGAGTCCCGTCACCTTAGGACCAGGACTCTGCTTCTGACTACTACAGGCTAGGGGCCATCCCATAGCCTCACTCTCTTGTAACCTCCTCCGCAGTTCTTCCCAGTGGTATCTCCTCTCCCAATATGACAACTTAGTGAGCACATCTGAGGCCTTCTTAGAAGAAATACATATTTTATGACGACGTCCCTTAGCTTCCTGGATTTCAGGGTCAGGGTTGGTCAACAGTTTCAGAACTTCAGACAATTCTTAGCTTTCTGCTTTTTCCTACCTGTACCTTAAATTAATAAAATAATTTCACTCATTCATTCAATATTTCTTGGATATTACTATGTAGTAGGCCTAATGTCTGGGTTAAGAATTACTTTCAGGCCTCTCCGGTGGTGCAAGGGGCAATGTTTAAAGCACAGCACTAGAAGCTACCCTCAGTTACTACAGCAGGAATTGGATCCCCAACCAGAGGTGATCCACATGGCCCAGCAGACCTCTCCTGTTTTGCCCTCTGCTCCCCTCAGCAGCATATTTCAGTCAGTCTGCCTTTTCTTCTCCCCACTCTGTCTCTGCTGAATCCTCTCACTGCCCTGTACCTGCAACTCTTGTATGCATAAATAAAATAAATCTTTAAGAAAATACTTTCCCCTAATCTAGACACACAACATCAATGCTTCAAAGAATGAGAAAGATTCTATTTATATAGAGTCATTTCCAAGATATAGTATTACATGAAAAAGCAAAGTGTAGAATAGATACAATCATTTGTTAGAAAAAACAAATGTTGTATGTGCATATACAAAAGAATACATACATATGTTTACTTGTATGGGTACAGACTACTTTGGTTGGAAGGACAATCACATAATTAGTAACACTGGTTGCCTCTAATGAGGGTAACTGAGTAACTGGGCACCAGGTCATTAGAGAGAAATTTTCCATTTGAATTTTAATTTATTCTCAAAATTAACTAAACTAATTGGCTCATCTCTTTCATAATTTTAAAGAAGGCCTTGCCCTCAAAACAGCAATTGCCTGTTACCAGGTTCATATTTGATACAGATAACCTGGCCTAAAGCCCTTGTATTTTTCATTTTCATCTTTACGGCCTTCTACCATGATCTCCTCCCATCTGGTCACAAGACGTCCTTCCCATCAAGGCTGGATTGATTTGGCAGCAGGACTGCTATAAAGACAGAAACTCCATCTGTACTTAGGGTCTGAGAAATGAAAGTGGATCTCTGTAACTATAAAAGAATTATGTGATGTTGAAGTCCAAATCAGGTTCACATCTGCACTAATGGAAATAGGCCTACTTACGGTTAACCTAAAAATGTTATATTTTTAGATCAGCTTAAAATAATTCTATGTCTACTTTCAAAATCTGAAGTATATCTCATATACTTGTAAGAAAACAAAACATTCTAAAAATCACATTCAGATGGAATTAGAAAACTATCAATTTTCCCCAGGGTCTTCTTTACCTTCTTGACTATCTTTACTTTTAAAATTATTTGTAACACATTCTGGTGCTAAAAGATTTGTCAACCTAATAAAATGTAATCACTGAGGAACACCTATGTTTAGGTAACCAATCTCTGTCTGAGTTTTCAATACCAAGCAACTTGTGAAGTGAATCTGAGCCTCATAGTACCTAGAATGTTACCTATATGTTGCTTAACTTGTGGGGTTATTCCCTTACAAATTAATTGGGATGGGGCAAACATTAGGGATAGAAATTGAAAGAAAGGGTGTTTACATCAATACTATAAGAGAAATAAATTTATAAGGGAAATAAACTCAAATATACAATAACATAGGGCGGGCTAAGCAAATCTGGTAGGTCCAAAGAGAGTAATCCTATCTAAATAAAATTTAAAGGATAATATTTTTAAGAGAAAACATTCAGATCCATTTTTAGTGTTCTGAGAAACTTACAATGTGTCCTATGATTCAGCAACTTGTCTCCTAGGAATTTACCCAAAGAACACAAAAACACTAATTCAAAAGCACACCTATGTTTATTGCAGCATTGTGTATAATAGCCAAGATATGGAGACAACTTAAATGTTCAAAACAGATAAATGGATCAAGAACGTGTAATATATATTATTAGTCAGAAATCATAAAAAAGATATGTGGCCACAGGTGGCAACATAGATGGAGCTGGAAGGAATTATGCTAAGCAAAATAAGTGAGAAGGAAAAAAAGAAAAGTATTGAATGGTTTCACTTACAAATGGGATATGGAGAACTAAACAAAGGGTCAGGAAAAAGATAAAACTTGCAAGCTGACCATAGATCTGAGTTACACAGCAGGAGAAAAAGGGATCAAATCAGGAGGTAGAAAAGCACAAGAGACTATGGTGATGGATTATGGATGCTATGGTGGTGGAAGAACTATGGGGATTACACTCGAGGGGAGAAATCAAATATAGTCCAAAAATTAGCAATGATATAAGAATATAAACAAATTTAACAAAAAGAAAGAAAACACACGAAACATCTGTAATTTTAAATATCCTTTTATAATCATTCACAACAATCATGAAAATCTAGAGTAATGATAACAATTTACTAATAGTTTTCAATTTTGCAGTTTTATCTCTACCTTACACAAAGATAAAGAATCTTACTTGAATTTTTCATTCAACTTATCTACAGAGTTTCCACATTTCATGAAGGAGTAGCTCTAAAGCCTATTCAAGCTCTAAAGAGTCTATGTACTTTCCTATTAAGCCCTATTAATTTATGGCGAATACTTAACATCATCTGTTCTATAAACTACAAAATCTTGGCTCAAATTTACTATCATAAATATACAACCTGTACTACTGTTTTAATTTCTACAGTTTACAAAAGAAGGTGAACCTATACTGAGGTAAAGAGAATCTGGCTCAGATACCAAATTTATAATGTATCTATATTCAACTCTAGCCTCTGCAATCTTAAAAAAAGATCTGGTTACTATTAGCAAATGATGGCCAAGCTCTGCTAATATAAACATTTTCAAGCCTTTTTCCAGTATTTCTCACTCAGAAATTTACTTAACAATTGCACTATGTCAAATGATGTACTTGATTTTTTTACCTTTAACAAAAACCTCTCAGACACATTATTATTTCAACATATAGTCAAAGAAATTAAAGGGCATGGAGAATAATAAATTTCCCCAAGGTCACCTAGCTAGAAGGAGCAAAACCAGCATCTGGACCAACTGTATTGGACTTTAAAGTTCATTTTTGGTCCAACCACTATAGAAAGCTGTGTAAAAGTTCCTTAAACTCTAAAAATGAAGTTACCATATGACCCAGCAATTCCACTCCTACGAATCTACCCAAAGGACACAAAAACATTAATTCAAAAGGATACGTGCACCCCTATCTTTAATGTAGCACTATAAAACAGGTAAGATATAGAAACAACTCAAATGCGTAAAAACAGATGACTGACCAAGATGTTTTATGCACACACATACAGGAATATCACATACTATTCATATCACATACTATTCAGCAATCAAAAAAATAAACTCATGCTATTCATAGCTAGAAGGGATTATGCTTAGTGAAATAAGCTAGAAGAGGGCTCTCCCTGGTGGTGCAACAGGTTAAAATGCAGCATTATGATGCTAGCATCAGCTGCTTTAGCACAAGTTCAATCCCCAGCTAGGAAGGTGACCCACAAGGTGCAGAAGACTCCTGTCTTGCCTGCTGCTCCCCTCAGCAGTGTACTTCAAGGATCTGCCAGTTCTGCTCCCCACTCTGTTCCTGGTGAGTCCTCTCACTGCCCCAGCACCTCTGGCCTGTACCCTAGTTCTGAACGCACAAATAAATAAATCTTAAAAAAAGAAAGAAAGAAAGAAAGAAAGAAACCAGAAGGAAAAAGAAAAGTATCAGATGGCTTCATTTATAGAGGGAAAATAAAGGAACCAAATAAGGCATCAGGGAAAACAACAACAATAAAAAATCAGCAGCCTACTATAAATCAGACACAGCCTACATGGGAGGAGGGAGACAGGGATCATAACAGGAGAGGGAGGGGCACAAGGGATTACGGTGACAACGCATGGGTGAATTGGTGGTGGGAATTACCCCAAGAGGAGAAAGTATATATTGTACAAAAATGAACAATGATGTAAAATATATACATACAATTTTTTTTTAATTTCAGGATTTTAACCATACACTATACTGCCATCCTAACACAAAATCAGTATCTGAAAATAATCTATTTCTGATTTTGTACTTCCTTCTAAATATGAAGCATTGAGCTCAAATCAAAAGTTAGTGATTTATTTATAAGTAACTTGTGAAGATAATGTTGATCATAATGAACTTTCAAAGAAGCAGGACAGGAACACAGAATTAAACTGCATTCTTTGAATTATATAAAGAATAATCTATACAAG